TGACCAATACCAGCGGTTTCATTAGTGAGGATTTCTTAAACACTTAATGCTCAAGGACAGCTGGGTCCAGTTTTGAACAATCAAAAAGCAACACAATTTTTCTCATGATCGAACCGGCTTTTAGACTATTGGACGAGCACCTCACCGAGCCTGCCACTGACCTGGACCTATGGGCGTGCCTTGACTAATGGCAATTTGAAGGTCAATCCGACAAGAAAGTTACGAGATAATTCCAAAAGACATAAACATCAGCTGTATAATAGCGTCTACTAATTGTTCGTCGTTGTGATTCCAAGAAGACATCAGATAAGCCGATCAAGAAGGCGGTGGGTGGGTGGTATGGCAGAAATCCCCAACCAGTTTTTTCACTTGCACGTGGTTCGTTATTTAAATTTGACGTATTTTAAAACTTTCCGTGAGGCTATTTCATTTAACATTCCTGTGCCATCTTAGTTAAAATGTACTTTAGAAACACGGGAATATTTGGGCCATATAAAAAATTGTATGATGATAAATTATACTGGTGATGACCAAAGCACATATGCATAAATTTACAATGTGCAAACCTTAATACACTACCCTGTTACCACTAGTGGTTAGAGCGCAGGACTTCGGTCCCTGAGGTCCCGGGTCCAAATCCCGCTATTGCATGATTAAGTGATAAAGCTGTAACCCCTAGGTCTAACCTCAAGTAATGCGAAAAACAATCCCGGGCTAGGACGAAAAATAAAACAATAAAAACTCTGGTAGCTAGGTGTACAATGCAGCTGTCTGCTTGCAATGTGAACGGAGTAAGTATTTTAATCCGATATTTCGAAAAATGTAACCATGGTCGTGCACGAACTGATGTTCCCAATAGTATCGAGTTCACACTTGTAGTAACTTATCTGAAGTCAATAATAAATTTAGTTCATGTAAATGAAATGTCTACTCGCAGTATCAAAAGTCAGTGGTGCTTTGAAAATTGGTTCAAAATTCACGTTTTGGCTCCTGGCAAATTTTGAAGACAAAAATTGGTTATTCATTTTGTAGAATATCATTCTGAACGTAATTAATCCGATTGTTATATCATTTTGTTCTGTATTTGCAATTGGCTGGCTTAAATTGCTTGTTGATAAGCTGTTTTACGAATCATTTGTTTAAGTATTATTGGTATCTTGCAAAACCGTCATGGCGACCTATCAACCCATAAGGTTCTTTTGGGTTTCACGAAAAGAAAAGCACTGCAGTCCAATTTTTATAATTTCATATTCATTCCTTCCCATAGTAGGCTAATATTACTGTGCTAAATTTCGTTCTGTAAAACAAAAGCAGGAGTGTATAAGAGCTTCGCTCGCTCCGATCGATTAGATTTATTTTTAACCATATAATCGCACAAAATTATTAAGAGGGTATAAATCTAATAAGACTCATTCTTTTAGCATATTGTAGGCATCTTATCATGGCCTCCTCCAATACAGATAAGGTACCGGTATGATCTTTGTCGATTGTCGACCCCAGCTCCGGGTTTTATTAGGTTTTATTTGATAAGATAGTTTGTAAGTTAAATAGTGTCTTTCATTTTTACTGTCATATGGAAAAACAGTGGGCTGCCTATTTTGTTCAAAAAGTAAAAATTAGTACTGTAGCCGTTTGACCACTTATCATCCGATAGTCCCATTTTATGGGCGGGCATTAATTGCGCCCACTGACCTAAGTCAGGTAGTCGGGTATGCCTGAATTGCGCCACTACTCCTGGAAGCCACCCGATACGTTCATTAACTACACCAAGTGGTGGCCCTCTTTGGCTGTATAATTGAGTAGGTTAGGTTAGGTTGGGTTTGGTTAGGTTAAAGCTAGGTTAGGTTAGATTAGGATATGTTAGGATCAGGATGGTATGTAAACAAGGACATTCCTTCTGCCGGTAACTCATCCCTACCTGGCTTGGGCTTGGGCGCAAATATCGATGTACATTATGGAACATGGAATATGGACTCGACATACTCTGTAATGTACATACTCTGTTATGTATACTCTACATACTCCCTAGAGTATTATCATCGATGGGTGCAACTAAGGAACATTTTTGGGGCCCTTTGAGGGCTTAGTGCAATAGGGAACTCTTGAGCGCAATTAATACACTACATATTTTGTATGAAAGGTTACTCGAAAAGGTGAACTTTTAACAGATCCCTATTCATTATTTAACGAAAGCACGTACCAGTTTTATGAGTTATATATGAACAGGTAGCAATGTATATTGTATCCTGGTTCCATATATAACTATATCAAAATGCCATGTCCCAATAGATATGAAAACGGATACCTACCCCGCTACCCGTAAGGCTGGTTTTATGCACCGCGACAGTCGCGAGTCGCGAGTCGCGCCACGTCTTGCGGCTGACAAAAATGTCACGCGACAGCGACACTTTTTCGTCGCGTAATTCCGGTAGTGGGGGAATTAAAGAAATCAGTATGTTCTCAATCCAATGTTGTGTGTTGTGTTTGCGATGTAGAAGTGATTATTAAGGTGCTTAAATATAGACCCTGTAGTGTTGTACACGATAGTGACAAAACCCTAGTTATTTAAACAACACATACAATTTACAGTTGGAATTGGGTCAACCCTCTTAAAAATGTCATTACATAATATAATGATGTAATTTATATTACAAATAAAGGGTAAAGAACTCATTTATATACTAATTATTAACATTAATCAATATAAATATATGGAGAATATACCACGTGTCGCGCCGCGACTGTCGCGGTGCATAAACGTGCCCATTTGATCCAATAGAACTTGAACCGCACGCGACACATTTTTTGAAGCTGCGATTCTAAAACCTGTCGCGGGTATTTAGAGATCTCCGAGTCGCTCGCGCGGCAGTTTGTCGCTGTCGCGGTGCATAAATGCTCCCATTTAACTCAATAGAACTTGAGTCGCACCGCGTCACGCGACACGCGACTGTCGCGGTGCATAAAACCGGCCTTAGTTGTCAAAAGATTTGTTTGTGGAGCCAGTTCGCCAATCTGTCATTTGAACCTACTGTCAGGGGAAATGTTTAAGCATTGTCGAGTTTGTTGCTAGACAGAAAAATAACTAAACCATTTAGATAAATACAGAGTACATTTTTATCCCCCCCCCCATATATAAATACCTCGTACCTGAAATACTGTTATCAACTTGTGTTCATAAACATTTTTCATAAGGAAAGATATATTCACTTAACAAAGTAGCTTTCAGTCCGTAACTTCCTATTGAAATTGCTTTAATTGCAGCCAAATTATCATTATTGTAAATAGAGTGAGATTTTTTAATAAGCCCCTATCAATTGTAGAAAACAAAAGGTCTTCATTATTATTTGGTTCTACAACTTAAAGGAAGTAAAGCGATTGAATTTTAAATTTTACCAACCTTTATCTTGTGGTAACTTTTTACATTTCCACTTTATTAATCTATGTTAATTACCTTTTTTTGAAAAAAGTGTTCACAAAAAGTTCTTAAAACTAGGTAACGTTATTAACTTTACCAAATATACTACTAAATAATTTTGGATTACATTTTACATTTAGCCTAAGCTTTTTTTACAGGGTGCTTGCTTAGAATAGAATATTTCGTACCTAGGGCCGAAAATTAGCAATGCACACTAATAGTCAACACAACTACAACTTTAAGGTTATATGAAGAAATAATTTAAGGAACCAACAAAAATAATAATAAATAGTTGCTAGGCAGTGGTGACAATAAAACAAGTCTATTGCAATGCTATGGATACTGATTGTGTATTTAATATGCAGCTGATTTTAAACCTGCTCGGTCCCCAAACGACGATGACAGCTGGCATAGACAGCAGATACGTAGCTTTCGGCCTCCAATAAATGTTTCCCTAGTGTGGTGAAAATAGTATATTTCGTACCTAGGGCCGAAAATGAGGTTTTGCCGGCTCGAGATAGTTTTTAAGTTCGAGACGAAGTCGAGAACTTAAATCGATCGAGAGCTGCAAAACCATTTCTGCCCGTGGTACGAACGCTATTTTTCACCACACTATACCCTATTACCACTATTCACCACTATAATAATGCACACTGATAGTCAACACAACTACAACATTAAGGTTATGTAAAGAAATAATTTGAGGAATCAGCAAAAATAAAAATAAATAGTTGCTAGGCAACGGCGACAATAACACAATTCTATTGCAATGCTATGGATTTTGATTGTGTATTTAAAATGCATTCATGTTTAAGTAAGTAAGCGGACAGCTGATTTTGCGGCCCCGGCAAAAACCTGCTCGGTCCCCAATTTACGATGACAGCTGGCATCGCCAGCAAAACTTAACTTTCAGCCACCAATTTACAGCCAAAAACATCATAGTATGGTGAAAAATATTTTTTGAGATAACGGTATCCAGAAAGGGCTCTTCTCCACTCGTTTTCATTTTTCTGAGCTACAATTATTTTTTTATCTGTCAACAAACAAGTATTTCTGTATCTTTTTGAAATTCGATTTTTTTAAACTAATAATATCCTATCGAATCTCCCTTATTTTAATGTGGCAATTACAGAAAATAAAATAAGTTAACAGTATCTAAAAAAAATCTGAAAAAAATCTCTTCAGCTTTGCACAGGTCGAATTCAGAAGTAAAACTTTTTTCAGGTCTGATTAAACAACGTATTTCTTTTAAATGTATGGTCATTGCAAAACAATTCCTTCAACCTTATTCACATTTACGCACAAATTAACAAAAACCAACCGTTTAAACCACTCAAAACATATACCGGCCGGTATGGTCGTTTTTCCTGTTGAAATCAGAGATTACAATATCTAAACTAACTTGGGAGGCAACAATATACATCCTTTTCTTTACGTAAAACGTACATCTAATACAAAACGACGAATCAAAACAGTAAAATAAAAAAAAAACGAATAAATTACCCTCTATGGAAATGCGGGATATAAAATTTATCTGGGAATAATTAAGTTGATGGAATAATGTTGAGTTAAGAACATTACTTACGGACTTGTAAGGACGCTGCGAGTCCTAGGGACAAGGCGAGGGTAAGAACCGACGTGTAGCTCGTAGTCTGCATGTTTGAAGACTGACAGACTGAGACTCAGACTCTAGAGAAAACGGAGAAAGTGGAAGGTCATGATCACGCATCATGCTGCAGCGGGAGGAGACTCACCTAGGCTCAGAACCAGGGAATATCCTTGTGTTTGATTTGTGGTTGAGAGTGTTCAATTTGTTTTGACTTGGGTCATTGTATTCTCCCAATCTCGTTTGTTATTGTCTTATTGTGTTTGTTTTACATCCCTGTGAGGTTTTAGTGATTTTACAGGGTTTGTGTGATAATTTTGTTTGGTTTTAGGTAATTTTCCCCCATATTATACTTACCAAATGTAAAAACTTTGTTTTAGCGAATTTCCCAGCAAAAATGATCTAATTTTGATGAAATTTTGTATAAACGTTGAAACCTATATTTATTCGAATGCGTTTGAGAACCAGCATGATCGGACTATGGGAACGGGGGTTTATGGGGGGTTTTACTGGGTAAAAATTGGTTTTTCCAATTTTTTACCCCAAAAAACATATAAATTTCTTTCCAAACTATTTCGTAGAGCTTAAAATAATTCGGCATATTGCTAAAAATATTATAAATTTCAAATTCCCATACTATTCTTATGGAGAATAAGCAAACTGTTGTAGTTTGCTTGTTTATGTACATAATTTGATCAAATTTGGAAATGCATTTATTTCTTACTAAACTATTAACATTTTACAAAAAACCGACTTTTTACCCTCCCTGTTGTAGTAAACCTAAGTACTCGTTAAACTAATTCTATTTAAATAGGGGGGAAAATATGTCATATTTTTAAGGAGACATTTTAGTGTAAATCCAATCATGCAAATATAAATTGGCTTAGTCTGCAGGTTTGCTTCGGCGGGGGTATTTACTACGTGGTGGAAAATCTAAGAAATAATCTAAATAAACTCACCATCACCAAAAATAAATTCAAAACAAACAATAATACAATTGTCTAACCTTACCAACCTTTAATTTTGAAACCCATTACATCCCATTACATCGATTTTGATTTCAGAACTATACAAGAAACTGCAGTATACAGTACATATTATGAAGGCGAAAAGCTAAAGTGCAAGGTATTTTGAAACTTAATCGTGCATCCATCAGATTACATTGGCATTGAAGATTACATGAAAGTGAGAAATAAATAATTACTGACACTGACAAAGAAAATATGGTTGTTCTAGATTGTGTTTTGTTTGTGCAGCCTTCGATATCGATACAACGTCCTCAAGATGGAGAATGATATGAATAAACGCTTTCAAAATCCTCAATCTGACAATGAAAGTTTCGACTTCGATTCTAGAAAATTAATCAACTTCAGGTTACTTTGGTGAAAAACTAGTTTTTCTTGGTTGTTATTCATTGGGTTCGATTGTAGAATTAAAAGTTTATTTTGAGGGACGTTTCATAGCAAATAGCAAGAGTTTTAGTTTATAAGAAAAATATTGAAAAATTTATGTTGTTTCTCCAAACTATCAACGGCCAAATTTATTTGAGGTTTCAGTCCACGAAGTTTGTCGTCACTGTAGCGACAATGTTCCTTTTTCTTCATTATTTTGTTTAAATTTTAATCGTGTGTTATAGTAAAAGTGCGATGTTTTTACTGTAAAGACTTTCCATCACGCATAACTCGTAACACAAGTATACTTTAAACATAATGTTATTTAAATGCAGAATAAATCTGTCATCTTTAAGGAAATATTTAAAAATCTAATAAAACAAATAGCATTTCGCTTGTCAACATCAAATTTGATAAAATAATATTAGAGTAACGTCAAATTAGATTTTAGGTATTTTTAGGTAGTTTTAGGAGACACCAACCAATGTACGTATTTCAACCCAAATATGAAGGGGTAAATGAGTGTAGAATGGTGTGAGATCTGTGTAGCTTTGTTACTGACTAAGATCAGCTGTTTCATCAGTCAGGATCATTATTTAAAGTCTGATGATCAGGAACAGTTGGGTTCAGTTTCGAACCATCAAAAAGCTACTGAATTTCCTTTCATAATACAGTACTGTATAAAAATATGCAAAACTTCTAATGTAGATAGCTTGTGTTAAGGTTTAAAAATACAATACTTTTCCGGCGAGTGTGGCCAGCCAGACCCATCCCAACATTTTAATTTTTGTTTATTCTTTTTTTCAACGATTTGACCTCAGTATCAATACATAAAAAGTGAAAGTATACGGAATATCACGATTACTAGAAAAATACCGGTATGGATCATAAACATAAACAAATGACGTTGTTGGCCCGAATCATATACTAATAGCATTGAACATATGTTTTGGCAGTGCCATTTAAGCAATGTTAAGTTAAATAATGTTTATTATACCAAAAACGTCATTTGGTTATGTTTATGACCCATACCGGTATTTTTCTAGTATTCGTGCGGAGTATTAAGGCAAAAATGATCCGGAAGACTGTGATTGAATCACATTTTTCTTAAGCATGTGTAAAGCATAGAGGAACATTATTTGTCTGTGCTACAACCTTTGTAAAAGTAAACTATACCTTCTTCAAGGTTCTAGAAATACATTGATTTAAGTACGTATGACCTAGAGACTAACTATTTCAACATATACAGTACACACGACAAAGTGTTACGTCTTTTGCACACGTTTAGACATATGTGACCTGGTAGACCAAAGATTTACGTGACAGATTCAAGGTCACTAATCGTCCTTGACCTTGACAAGGTCGTCTGCAGGTCGTACATGAGAGGCCACATGTTTCTGCATTACAAGGTCAATGACTTCGTCTGGGGTTGGAAATTTTACACGTTATCAAAATAGGAAAAACTGTTGTTTTGATGATAAATAGACTACCCCCACTGCAGCAAAACTGCAGACGAGTGAATTTCCATTTGGCTGAATTATTTTCAATTAAATCTATATGAAAAATAACATTTGGTTTAACGAGTACCTAGGTTTGATGCTACCAGGAAACTTAAGTGTGTTTTTTGTAAAATATTAACAGCTTAGTATAAACTAAGGGAGTATGTTTTATCTATGGTATAAATTTAAAATGGGCAAAATTTTGATAAAAATATATCCATACACAAGCAAACTACCTCATTTTGCAATATTCTCCATAAATAACATGGGGATTTTAAATTTAAATTTTTTTTTATTTTATCCGTTACAAATAACTGTACAAAAACACTTTGATATACTAAATTAATGTTTTTAACCTCTTAAAAAAGGTTTAGGCCTAAAGAGAAATTGGGAAATTTTATGTTTTTAGGGTCAAAAACGAGAAAACCCATTTTTTACCCAATAAAACCCCCCGTAAAACCCCGTTCCCATCATCCTATCATGCTGGTTCGCGCCATTTTATAAGCTTTCCAACCATATGCTACACTATTGAGGTTTAGATATTTTTTGTTTGTTTTAGTGGTTTGAATACCAGAAAACAGAGAACTTTTTTACTGTTTATACTGTTCAAGCTGAAACAAAAATACAACTTTTGCTTAATACATGCCGACTTTCTATGTTTTAAATGTTGAAGACACCATGCTTTGTACTCTTCAAACCACTAAAGCGTACATAAGCAGACATACAGTTCAATGGTGTAGCATATGGTTGGAAAGCTTATAAAACTGCACAGTTTTAACATGTTCCGACACTTTCTTGTATACAGGATGTAAACAAATGCAATAGACCAAAGTTTTTTTTTAAATTATTATCAAACATCTTAATTTTTCTCTTTGCATTTATTTACAGTGGAGTTTTTACAACTGATCCCCGTCATTTTCCATTATTATTATTCAAAATTTAATGTAGAACACGAAAATGCCATTATCTACTCAAATCCATTTACAGGTAATTGAGAAATAGTTGTATTAAGTTTAAAAACATATTTATTTTTGAAAAACATAAAATAATTCTTTGGGAAGCTAATTTTTAGACTTGGAACCTTTTATATGCATCATCACACTGCATTTACTTTGTACTTACACCAAAAAATTTTTGTCACACTGAGTACCAATCACCCTGTATAATAGCCAGTTTTTAATCATTTAGGTTATACAAATAAAAAGGCCGTCATTTTGAAACCGTAGTTGTGTTAGTTATAAATTTATTATTTTTTAACTAAAACTACAAATGGATTATGTAGGTAATTAGGTGTTGTTGGGAAAGAATGTTATTTTTTATTTTGTTTCTATTTTGACCCATGACACCTTATTTGTAAAGTTTGTTTACTTTCTTAAGGGACGGGTGTTCACTAAATGGAAACTAATTTTGTAAAGCTTTATTAATTTTTAAATATTTGATTTTGCATGACTATGATTTAGGGGGTTGCGTATATTTCATTTGCGTATGTTTAATATTTAATTTAGCACATATTTGATTTGTAAATCAAGGCTTTTGTGTCGAATCTTGACAAAACGATTATAATACTTTGGACTGGTTATGAATGGTGAGTCATTGGCTCAGTCGGTTCGCCTTGCCGTTTTAATAATTAGGTTCACATTTTTGTGTCTCTTTTCGATAAATGTATCACCGTAATTGGCACTGTTTTCACCACTATTTAAAATGTCGTTGGTAAAGAACATGTGCCGCATACTCAATGTATCCTTTACGTCTGGAATCTTGTTCTTATCACTTGGCAATAAATGGACAGGGCGATCTTCGACAACTGCCCAGACTCGCTTTCTGGACGATAAACGGATTAATTATTAACTTCGATAATCTATATATAATAATAATAATAATAAAAGAATAATAGTAAAATAATGCAATTCGAAAGACTGTCGTGCATTTAAACAATAGTAATTTATCCAACCCTGCATTACGTTTCGTAAAAATACCCAACAAATGTTAATATGTTATTGTGATAGAAAAAATACTAACATGATAAAATCGATCCCCAGGCACAGTTTAAACGGCGGTGAATCACGTGAAAAGATCTTGGTTGTAAAATTGTGTAATAATCAGGCCATGTACACATAATATGGCAACGTGGTGGGTAATGTAATAGCATAGATACTCCCTTAAGGGAGTGTGTTTAATCTATGGTACTAAAAA